GAATAGTTGTGTACTATACAATAAAAATCATACCATCTTCCACAGTCTGAAATACCAGTCGGGAATCATATTTCTATGATCCCGGATGGGGCTTTGGTGGCACAGTCGACAGAGCAAACACTTTTCATCTCTGAGACCGTGGGTTCGGTTTTCTCTGCAGATTCATATGAAAATAGTCTCTCAACAATCTGCCCAAAGTCGTGAGTTTTTTCTCCGAGCGCTCCAGTTTCCTCCCAGAGGGAAAGTTGACAGGGTGGGTTAGGATAAACATATATAAATAATATCACCATTGTTGTAAAGATAAACAGTGTAAGTAAGTAATACAAGTATAAGCGATGAACGCAATACTTGATGTAATCGGTTGCCGAAAAACCTTGAACCGATGAATCTCCGTGACCGGAGTCAGACATGTGCTTCTAAGCTCATTGGAAAGCTAAGGATACTCACTTTGGGCAAGTCTACTCCTTCTTAAAATCTGATTATTAATCTCTGATACATTTATTTGATCTTTGGCTTTGAGTTCATAAGCAAAGTAAAATGTAAAATGTCCGGTACCACCAGGGCAATTCAGTGATGCGTTTCTGGTATTGGAGATGAGCTTAAAAAATATTTTGAATCTCCTATTGTTACTGCCACGATGAAGAAAGTGGTTGCTGATGTTTTAAAGGAAGAGCCGTTCCTGTAAATCATAAAGGATGCTGTGGATAAAGCGGTGTTGAAAGCTGTTGGGTTTTTGAACGACAAATTGGCCGAAGTGCATTCGTTAGCACACGTGTTAATGCTATGGAAGAAGTTGTACGTGCCTTCGAATCAAAAGCTTTTGGCGGTACAAAATGCGTCAGAATCTGCTTTATTAAAGGCAAATGAAAAGGAACAGTACTCAAGGAAATACTATCTAGGATTTGTCGGCATCGAAGAAAAGACGGGCGAAAACGGTCTCGTGAAATTTTGTAACGAGAAACTGGGAGTGACTTTTGATGAAAATGATAAAACCGAGCCATCGTATTGGGACGCTTTAATCGTCAAATTAAAAATTACAAGTCGAAAATGGCAGTTTGCACGAGAAGAAAATACCTTAGGGAGGTTCCATACACAAGGACGCGGGATGTTCGCAGGACCTCTACGTGGGCTATCCCACGCAACCGCACGATTTGTTTTTTTAAAGTGCTATTTATAAGCGTTCAATGATCCTTCGTTTTGAGTGGCAAGGAATTGCGAGTCTAAACAGCAATTTTAAAAATGATACGAATATCAATAGGCCAACTGAACCAATCCACGAGCCCGAAGCAATTTTTTCACTTCCTAAAAACACACACTGTCAACTGTAAAACATTTGCTAAATTGTACACAAACTTTTCAGAAATGTTATAAACGTGTGATCTGGAATTTTAATATAGTTAACGAAACTGAGCTCCCTACTTTTTTACTATAGTGGCAGACCTGGAAAGCCTAACAAATAGCGAATATATTAATTCAGCATACGAAAATTGATTTCACTGTTTTCGTGGTATAGTCGAGATTCACATTCCTCACAAAATTGTTACATCCTCGTGATAAACCGTGGATGAAGACTAATGCAGGCTAGGCGTGCAATTCGTAAGAGAAATAGGTCAATCCAAACTTTAAATTTATTTAAAAATTCATTAATAATTCACGAGGAAAATACAAAAGAAATGAATGTTTAATCAATGTTTGTAAATCGGATAAGGATTTGTTCTGGTTCTGATTTTCTCGGCTTAGACAATGTTTATTTTCAAAGTTACTTCGCCAATGAACTCATAAGATGGGTCATTTTTTACGTACGATAAAACATTCGCATCCGATCTGTATCTGATATACTGTACAAACTCTCGCCTTCGGCTCGAGTTTGTATATCAGATACAGATCGGCTGCTCATGTTTTATCTAGTACTTAGATGCTAAGGAAAAAGCCGACCCATTTAATGAATAATTTTGTATTCAATGCTGTGTTAATGATAGTCGTGCTTCGCTCCCAATTATTACCGCCGTTACTTTATCACTCATCCAATTATTGGAAGAGGTTAAAAATCTGTTGAAAAGTGTGCACGGATGTATAGGTAAAGGCTAAGGTTATACTATTACGAGCGGTATGTCAACAACAGGGATGTAGCGAAGACTTTGTCGTTGGCGGAGGCGTAAAGGTACAAATTACAAGTGATTTTTAAAATTATCTGTTTACGTTACCAAAAAGCAGTTTTTTTTGTTTTTTTTTCACGAGTGCATTCAAGTAGGTGTTTCTTTCGAAAGAATATATTGGCACATTATCTTATAATTTACCTCAATATCAGCTCAAATCACCTACACATTTACCTGAAATTATTCACAGTTAAATCGAGGGATTGGGGGGGGGGGACTTTACCAAAAATCACACACAAGATAACAACAACCCTACCATTGACCGTAGAGTTTCTGGAGCTCCTTTCACCGTGGCTATATAGGTTGATGCAGAGGAACCAGGACTTTGTACTGACACGACAGCGGACATACGTTTCAATGAACTGGCAAAATGATGTCTATGTAGAATACGTAATGACTGCTTCTTGCCTTTCTTCGGCATTACAATATCACCTGCGGGAATATATGTATAGGTTATCATACGAGGGGCGAGGCGATATCAGTTTTATCGCTTGAGGTACGATATCATTATATACTTTATCAGGGTCCGAATTTATTAATATTAATCATTTCCCAATGAAAGCTTATTAAAATGGCAGGACAAAAAGCGATTTCAGCAACAATCAAAGGCCATTGAGGCCGACTCACGGATGAGATCAAATGAAAGTGACAGAAAGAATTAGAGCAGCTTGCAGTTGTTTTTGCAAATGGGCACAGTGCGAATTTGCCATTTGTTGTGCTTCTTTTGCCAAATTAACAGAACGAACGCGTGCTCCAGCCCGATTTCCGGATCTGAAAGGCCGGCCTCACAGGCAAACAGTATGCACAAAGCAGGCTGGTCATTTTCCATTGTTTAACTGCCCCACACTCAACCCACACTCAAGTACCCACAAAGACTCACATATGTTGCTTCGCAAAATCCGCGAGTCAAAAATTGTATCAGTGACATATCTATCATTTTTTGCCTTAATAAAATTATCACCCTCATAAAGGCATAATTGTGTGATGAGTATAAATCAATTCACGTACGGTTGGTGAGTGAGTCGTAATAGATGACCAGGAATGGGCCGGCCGGAGTAGATCCGTGCATGCCTTACCTTTTGTGAGTGTCCAGTCTATAGCTGAGAGACAGGCGATCTCTAATGGGTCACCAACCAAGTTAGTATCGACATAAGCCAGAGAATGACAGGAGGCTAATACTTGTAGTGTCTCATTAGGAACATCTGATAGCTCAAAACATTCCTCTTGCGATTCACTGAAATAAAAAGAGTTATTTTGATTCTTGAAATTTTCTGATTCGAGTTGACGTCATCGGTTTTTCATCTCATGCACTATCTACAGATCTTGAAATTTTCATGCTCAAATTAGTGTATACCGAATTTCACGAAGTCTGGAGATTCAGGGTACGAGTAATGGCGTATTAAATGTTTTGTTTTTCCTATACATTTGACTGGAATTTTCCGCTGCAGTGAACATGTTTCGCTATGAGCATGAAATATCGATAACGATTTCTAGGATCGGAGAATTAGGAATGAGCCGGTAATTAATCGGAAATGGACGTTGAAAAAAGTGGAATCGATATCGGGATGCTAAGGAACATTAAATCTCTGGGCAAGAAGATTGACGAACGTTTTATACACATATATACATTATGAAAGAATCTTAAGGAATAATTATATCATATAATTTCTTATCTGTCATGTGAAGTGTTGTTTAATGTTCAAATTTGGGGTAACGTGCGGTCACATTTTCCACTGTTTTCTGCGCTTTTCAGGAAGACTTGAAAAAGCCAAATTCGGGATCCCAGGAACATTTCCTTTTTAAAACTGGCACGACTAGCTTTTGAACAAGTCTCCTTGTCAAAATTATCAATTTTTGCCATACAAAAGAACAAATAAGACTTGTCAAGGAAAACATGTCAATGGGAACTTGCTCGTCTGTGGTAAAAATATTCTTACCAGTCATTATTTAATATATTCATAATAAAGCAATTAAAGCATTACACAAATATTACACACATACATAAGAACTCAGTATTTACGACGGGTAGATGATCAACTTCGTAACTCAATTGTAAAAATATTTGGGCGAGCTTGCGCTTGAAATAAGTACATTTAGTTCATGTTAGTCTCCCAAATTAACAGGTAAATCAATGCAAAGTTTACTGTATACCGTTTCCAGATAACAACAATTTAGTGACAAGATTATAAGATTGTAAATACGTGAACCAAAGGCAGAGCAGAAACGTGTGAAATGAATGAAAGTGCCTTTAAGTGCGCCCAAGCGGCAAGCCCCGGTGTGTAATTTGAGTATCATCATGGCTGGCGGCTCACAGTCCTCCGTCCTCATTCGTCACTTCCTCAATAATCTTGGCTCTGATGTCTTCGCGCCAAGTTGATGTGTCACTGTCAATGTGCCATGTAAATTGATCTCAATTGTTATTTACTGTCGAATATTGAATACATTTTATCAGACAATCTGTCATCTGTCCGCTTAAGAGAGGTTGATTTGCCCATTGGGACCTCCAGAAAGGTGTCCGCGTCCGTTAAAGAGGGGTGTCCGCTTAATAGGGGTTATGATAATAGTATTTTATTAAGGAAACCGAATGGGACCTGAGATATGTGTCCGCTTAAAAGAGGTGTCCGCTTAAGAGAGGTGTCCGCTTACTAATATATAGTTCGACTGTACTAACCAATCAACATTCACGAAATTTTGAAATTTATAAACGTTTTTGATACGTTTCGGTACGGTACGCTTGAAGTGGAAAACCGGCTTAAATCCACGTATTTCCGGGTGTATTCGTGTATCAAAATAAAAAGCTCGTCGCGAGTCAACTTTTTGGCGTACTACAGAAGTATTAACCAATCAGCATTCACTAAATTTTGAAATTTAAAAACGTTTTTGATACGTTTCGGTACGGTACGCTTGAAGTGGAAAAATGGCTTTACTCATTTCTAAATTTATGTTCGTAACTTTTAGTTCAAACAATAGGCCTGAGTAATTGGTAATTTTTGGCTCGGTTAAAATTGCTCTATAAACATTAACGAGAACCAACCTTAATCCTGCGACGCCCTCAACCACGAGATTGTCACTAGTTAACGTTCCAGTTTTATCAAAGCAACATATGTCAACTTTACCAGCAAATGGAATGCGGAAAGGTTCAGTACAAAATACTCCTAAAAAATTAGGAAAAATAAAATGTTTTGAAATGAACACTTTCGCGAGACTTGGGGGGAGGGGGGGCGACACCCAGGGGCGAAACTAGCCCCTTTTTTTCAGAAAGCGGTATCAATTTCCCGTGCGTAATACAAAATGACTGAAAAACGGCAAACTTCGCAGGGCTATATTATCCGCATTTACAAAATGACTGACAAACGGCAAACTTCGCAGGGCTATATTATCCGCATTGCGGATAATATAGCCCTGCGAAGTTTGCCGTTTTTCAGTCATTTTGTATTACGCACGGGAAATTGATACCGCTTTCTGAAAAAGGTAATAACAATATTCCGTGCGTAATACAAAATGACTGAAAAACGGTAAACTTCGCAGGGCTATATTATCCGCATTTTACAACATTTCGCAACGAAACTTCGGAATATCACTACTTTTGTGATGCTCTTTCAAGCTGTGATGAAATATTTGTCTAGACTTGTCTAGATCAAAATTTTGTTCATTAGGGAATAGCAAGTCCATTACATATTGTATGCATTCCATCAAGCTTTTCGCGCTGAGACGTCGAGTATTATACAAATGCTATTAAATATTCACTTAACTTAACTGAACTACTTAACTTAATAATTGGGAGGCCAAGGAGAAAAGGTTTTTACAAAACGAGTTGTAAGATATCGAATTTCGAATATTTTCTGGTATTCTTGTCCATAATTTAGCCCCACTGTAACTGAAACTTTTTTTAAAAAATTCTGTCCTGGGCCTTGGAATAAAAAGCCCAGTTGAAGAACCTCTTAAATTATAACTATATTAACAGTATTAATAGTTTGGACGTTCTCTGGTTTATAAACCAGAGAACGTCCAAACTATTAATATGAATAATCCTGGTTACGCTTCTACCATTTTTAAATATATTAACAGTGTTGGAAAATTGGAAAATGTTACACAGTCTTTGTGGACTTAATTGATTTACTGTTTTGTACATGAGTTTGGCCTTCATTAATGCTCTATTGATTTACTGTTTTATACACGAGTTTGGCCTTCATTAATGCTCTAAGAATAAATATTTCTTACCTAACTTTGAAAGCGCCAGTAAAGATGAATTGACAGCAAGTGAGAGTTCTATCGGTAACTCGGGCGGAACCACGGAGGTAAGAATTAATGTACATTCTAAAAATAGTTTGTAGCGATTGCGTCTTGGGTCTGCTGTGCCTGTAACGAATGAGCCATAATTACTAATTATAGTTCTATGATTCTATGTACGCTGAGAAATCAGAATTAAGGGCAAGTTACCTTTAAAAGACAATGCCCTAATTAAGTAAGCTGTACGCTTTGCCGACGTTCAGATTTTGACTTTGACTACCATTAAACAATCTGATGTGTATTAAAAATTAATTATCTACCCAATTAACATTCAAAAGCGTATTAAGCCAGTGAGAAGTTGTGGTAGGCAAATCTGAACTTGGGTAAATATCAAGATTTTGTTATATACCTAGGGTGAACACCAAACGTGATTGGCTGATTTGTGGTCACGTGACTTCAGATAAATGCAATGTATCCCGCCAGGCAACAGGTGAAAAATTGTTGCCCGCCCCAACCGGCCACGTACATAAACAAAATGGCGGCACAACTAGCATAATTAGACACTGATTTTCCAAGTTTGTGTTCAAATAAAGAATGTAAAAGAGAAGAAAAATACACAACAGGCAACAGGATATGCTGCTGAAACCGTTTAAGTAGGTTCTTTTAATTTTAAATTCGATGAGAGTCTCGGGAAAACAAAACAAACTATTTCCCGAGGGAGCAGACAGTAAGTGTATATTGTTGGCACCTCACTCGATTGAATAATTGTTGAAGGGTATTGTAGTTGGAAATTATCGAGTGGAAATTTATATACATTTATTAGATACCAGGAACCGCTGCGAAAAGTGAAACTTTAGGTCCCTAGCAGGAATTGAACGTGCGGCCGCCTTGCCTGTGCAGAGGTCTAACCAACGGAGCTACAGAGGACAATTATATTGTAAACTTTATTGCACAGTGAAACAAGATTTAGGCCAGGGACAAACGTCGAACTTTTCATGTGCCGAACCTAATGTTAATGAGCTAAGTTCTTTGTTTTAATTCATTTGCATTAGGTTAGGCCAGTGAACTCAATCTATTTCCCTGGAGCGATAACATTCGGTCATTTGGCAGTTAAAAAGTGAAGCCTCGCGTGAGCAACGCGTGAGCAGTGGCGTCAGCCCTCCAACGCCATATAGTACGTCAGTTTCAGTCCCCTTATACGCCATCACCGCGAGTTGATAAGTGTTTTCGCTGCACGCGCCTCTCTCCTCCGCAGAGCCTCCTTAAGTATTTACAAAGTAACTTACATGAAGTTTCCTGAATAAAAGTGAGCGCGCGAGGTGTGATGGGAAAATTGAAATGAAGTTGGGGAGACTCTGCCAGATAATGCGACGAAGTATGGCTTTTGAACCAAACTAGTTGTTTGACATTTTTTAAACTTGAAATCGACGGAAATGTGAAAGAAATTGAAATGAATCTTCATAATCTGAGTATCGAAGTTCAATAGAGTCATTTTTATAAAGAAATGTTGCAATTAAGAGGATATTTATAATCAGATATCGTATCCATTGATATTCGTTTGCAATTTCTCAATATTTTTCGATGCAAATGGACAGAAGAAGATATTGATATTGAATTCACTCCAGGATACTCAAGTACGCCTGAAAATGAAAGTCGAAAACATGTTTTAACACCCCCGATGGTTGATCGAACTTCGCTACAAACGATTATATACGACGCCATATTGATTGCATTAACTCGCAGAGGCTTCCCTTATTTCGTTCTTCCCATCACTCCTTGCGCGCTCACTTTTCCTTCACTAGAAACTTCATGTAAGCCTCTGCGGAGGAGAGAGCTGCACGCGCGGTAAAAATCCTGTCAACCTTCGTCAACTCGCATGCAACTTTTGTTCTCGTTTGACCGGGGGACAAAAGTTGAGAAAACTCTCATGCAAAACTCTCGCTTGCCAATTCTTATCCTCTTTGACTAGGACTATAATGTACGAAGACGTGCTTATCTTGCCATAGTGTGTTTGACATCAGCGGTGATTGTTCATCGAAGACAGGCCGAAGATTCATGTGTCGCTGTTCATGAATGCTGACCCAAATGCTTAAGACCCATTTACACGATACGGTATAGTGATAAATTTACAAGTCGCTTTTCACGTTCTTTGAATTGTGTCGAATCTTTCAAGAGGGCAGATGCAG